TGTTGTCATGATATGGGATATCTCCGTCCAACCAAACCATTCCCAGGAGAACACACAATCTACCTCGAACGAGGAGGACACTCCCTCCAAAGATTTGGCATCCTCCAAACCTCTGCGCAAAATCCTCTCGAGGAACGAGATCGCTGGGTTTCATCGACCGGAACACCTGGGCACCCCAACCCCGGTGCGGGCGCATTCCCCGCCTCTCATCCGCAAAGTATCCAAGCTTTCACTGAGCTCGGCTAAGCACGGCCATTCAACACCTCCATCGGTATCGGTTCATCCCCCGCCTGCCTCGGGGACCCGCTCGGACCATGCGCGTCGCACTCCATCACCCCATAGTCCTCAATCCACTGTCGCGAGCAGACACCGCTCCGGTCATCACTCGCGTCGCTCGTCTCTAGACTCGCGGCATCACGTACCGAAATCGAGCAAGTCCCGGTTTGGGAGCATCAACATGTCTACTGAGCAGGTTTGCCACACGCTCCAAGCGTACCGAAAGAAGCTAGACCGGTGCAAGGATCGGATCCGCGCCCAGAAAGTCTTGGAGCGAGAACTCCAACTGACTCTGCAGGTATTGGATGCCCGCGCGCAGCACGAGGAGGCTGGAGAATTGGAAAGCGACAGCAGCGACAAGGAGAATGAACCGATCCATGGAGATGTCAAGCATAAGCATGTACGGAGACCGCGTCGGGCCTCTTCGAGCTCGGATCTGAGTGACACGGAGTCGGATAAAGCTCACCATCTTTCGGTTGATTCTGATGGAGAGGGCTAGTCTAGTTAATCTTTCCCATCTCAGTGAGCTTTTCTTGTTACATTGATTTATTTCGTTGATTTAATTCGTTGGTTTGTTTCGTTGGTTTTCTTTACACTAGTCTCATTGGTTCCAACTGTCATGCTGTGGTCTCGAAAGACAATTGTATCACAAACATTATGGGCGTTACACACGGAATTATGTTTGAATCTAGATATTCCAATTTTAGCTTGAGCTTGATGAAAAGGGTTAATCTAGAGGCCAGGGGCTATGCCATCATGTTTCTGTTGGTCAACATCTCCTTGCTTGATTGTAACACCTGCACTCATGTAATGATTGTAGGCTAAGCTCGACAAGCACTCCATTTCCCCAAGATCATGCACAGCGCACAGTATCAACAACAAAACAACACACCCACCCATCCACTACAACCGCACCTGAAATCTCGGGTTCGGCCTAATCGCCGCTCCATACTTCAGCAAAAATACCGGAGCCGGAATAAAGGCCACAGCAATAAACCCAAGCAAACTATTCCCCCAGCCATACCCAAGATCATCATACAGCCTCTGCGGCACCAACGGCAGAATCGCTCCAAGCAAAGACCGCACAACCGTATTACTCGCCATAGCACTCGCCGCAAAGATAGTAGACGTCTCCACAAGATAAACCTGCACAGACATAAAACCCAACAGCACCCCGAACCTAAAAATCCCCGTGCCCACGATAGGCACAATCCAGTGGACGGCATACTGCGCCGTCCAGCCGTATATGAATAGTGTTAGTGTCTGTTGGGATATCGGTCATATCAAGCCCGACCAAAATGCCAATTTGGTATTTCGGTGCTGTGGCTGAGGGTACCCATTTTATATAACATATGCGTTCAATAGGTATGGAGTACGCTGTAGAGGTGTGCGCGGGACTAGAGGGGAACAATGTACACGCCTTACATCTCAATAATCAGGTTACAAAAACCCTCCTCACTTTTGCAGCAGTCAACCCTCGTCTACATTTAGGGCTCGACTTTCTAGCAAGCATCTAGTGTACAAACGCAGGCTTGTCTGAAACACGGAATCCCCAGTCTAATCATGATGTATACTTAATCCTATAGATCTCTGTTTCCCTTTATAAATAAATGGATCTTGATAAAAAGAACAAATAAAGAAAGGGGTAAAGGAATCAAAAAGCACGGAATTCAGGTAGCCCTTAAGTCCGGGCCTCAACCCACCCCTGGCACATCCATGCATACATCCATCCATCCCGTTAGTTCTAGGTTTTTTCTCCCCACCGATGATGTCCTCTCTTGAAACCGCAGCAAGCGTCATACAGCAAACACATCCCCCCCCCCCCCCCCACCCCCGACTCACACGCAAAGGGCTTATTCCTCGCTGAGCGTAAACACCCTGGTTTTCAAGGCCTTCTCTCCACGCCCATCCAGGACAAGCATAATTCATATTTTTCTCGACTGATAAGAAGAGGTACAAGGTGTACCGGAGACCCCACAAGTCTACTTTTCCTAAGTCACAGTTTCCCCGGCAGCTTTGGTGGCGTGCTGAAGGCACTTAAGTACTAGCTTCGTCTCCCCTTTGTCGAGGGCTTCGGCTGCGCATGCCAGTACGTATTCACTCTTTTCATCGCTTGACTTGCATAGGGTTTTGAGATAGCCACGCGCTTTACGTGTCAGTTGTTTGTCTCTTTAAATCTGACTTACCAAGAGAAGTTTCATTGTTTCTCAGAGCCACTTTAAATGATAGATATAGCGTCGCTGGAGAAGATAGGCATTCTTTTGGCACTTGATGTAGTATACTGCGTATTTCTGCAAAAGCAGTATTGCCATGTTCCAGTGCACAAAGAAGGAATCTCCTGGATTGTGATTAGGTTTTCCGACATGTCATCGACTAGGATATCAATACCTCAGTATTACAGACTTGTTTCCGGGGGAGATTTGAAGAATCTGCTGCTCAAGCACACAGCGACACCACTGCCCTGCTGTATAGGTATCGCCGCTTGACAGTGTTTTGTCGACGAGTCTCCAGATAAGCTGTATTCGGTTAGTTGCAAGAAAGCATTGTCTGGTGTTGACCGTACTATCAAAGAGGCATGCGACGCTTCCTCGCTAAGCTTTTCTTCGAATTCGTTTAGTTTGTCCATTGTCTGCTTGAAGGTTCCCAATGTTTTCATCTGGTTCTCACACTCCGTATTGGCCAAGGTCCAGAGAAAACGAAGCAGGACACTCTCTGTCCATTCTTTGCTCTTCAATATAGCGACTCTGTCTACGAACAGCTGTCTCAATGCCTCTATGGCGAGATCCGAGCTACCAGGTCAGTATGGCACATGCCGCTCCAGATAACACTAACTTTGAATCTTTCAACACGTGTATATAGTGAACAATGCTGGTCTTGTCAGCAGATGTCGTTCTGTAGGTTATGTAACTTACATTTTAAACGTTTTGTCATCGATTTCTGCCGATCGAATGGTAGATTGGATTACTGCTGATAATCAGTTTGGCTTCCACCGCGGTAGCTGTGCTCTCTTGACCTTGGAAGTAGTCCTGCTCCGCGAATCCTTCTCTTTTCATTAGCTCTAACTGTATTACCGCCATAGGGAATGCTGCTCCGTGTTCCTAGAGAGTGTGAGCCACTGAACGTTGACTATGTAACGACCCCATACCCCTTCCATACAGTCCAGCGCTTTGCTCAGATATTCTCTTGCATCCACGAGGTCGAAATTGAGATACGCTCGAACTGTATGATATTAGCGGAACGGCCCGTTTTCAATAACAAAAGAGAAATAAGATGTCCTTACCAAGAGCATGTAGCATCAGAAACTTCTTCTCTTTCGCGGCCAACTCCACTTCCTCCTTGCAAATAGAAGGCTCGATTGCTGCGAGCGCCCTCTGCAGCCACTTCACTGCCAAGCCATACTGGCCGCTCGCCAGCCCTAGCTTCCCAACTTTGTAGCATAAGTCTACAAACACATCCTGATCTTCTTCTATCCTCGTAGCTGGGACTTTCAGAAATAAATGATCAGCGATATCTGGCCTGTCCTGAAGACATGACTAGCGTGCGTCAGAAGATATCTCTAGATGCTTATAGATACACTCACCAGATATATACGACACATGTAGTATCCAGTCGTGACAGCTTGCAGTTTCGCTCCGTCCGACTCACCGGACGATTTTCCGAGCACGTCTAATCGCACTGCTGCCCTTTCAATGACCCGTTGACTTAAATCAATATACCCATATTCTGTATGCATGTATCCACGTTAACAGGTACCAGGCGAGTGAACGGCACTGGAAAATAACAGTATATACATACCCATTGAGCACTTCACAGCGCACAATGCCACTTCCAGGATCCTGTAATCTCCTAGACGTTCGAATAAGCCAATGTCTGGTTTCTTCCCTTCCGTCGTGGCCGTACCTGTCTGCTGCTCTGGTACAGCGGCGTCCAGCGTAGCGAAAGCAAACGTCTTGACTACGACAATTTAGCAGGAACATCTAGTACAACAGCCTGTTACCCTACCAACTTTTACACAGCAGGGTTGCGTCTAGTCCTCCATCAGCAGCTACCATTAGCTGTGTGCACACATTCCACAGTCGAGTTCCTGATGAATCCAGTTCGCGTCTGTCGGAGATTGGAAGGGAGTGTGCAAAGAGGGGAATATCCTTGAGACGCTTTTCCAGGTCAAGGAGCGTGGCTTGGCTCAGACACGATGTGTTCGAGGCTGTCGTGTTTTGTAGGTGGTTATATAGCTCGCTAGATAGTTCTGGTTCGGTTGACTGTTAGGGATTTCAATACTAAATGTAGCAATGTGTTGGAGAATGATGGATGCAATGCTTGCCTAGGATGGAGGATGTTTTTTGATGATGTTTGCTGGGTGGGCTTGTTGCCATGGTGGTGTGGCTTGGGGAACGCTCCGAGGGATATATAGAGGGCTCGAATGTAATTCTAGCTCGAAGGGAATCGGTAGTGGCGCACTTTACTTGTGGACTGGGTTGTAAGTAGATTGGGGAAGAGAGGGAAAGATGAGAGTAAAAAGGCCCACCTGACCCGGCTACTGCCATGATAGCAAAACATAGCATAAGGTCAGATTTGTGCGCACGTAATATAGTCAACTCTTTACTTCATTCTTTCCGTTCAAACACTGACACCTTGAATGAGATACTTATTCAGAAGCTGAAAATGACGTGTCTATGCAAGCAACCAGCAGCCAGCAATCAAAGTATTTGGAGAATGTTATTGTTCACTATCTATGCACTAGGACTTCCGAGCTTGAACATGCACTGGCAGGCAATGCATACAAGCGAAGTTCATGAAAGACCCAGTCAAGGTCTTGGTAAGGTCCTGTCTGACGCCTGCAAGCATGACTGCGTGGTCATTCTATGTTCCCGGACCAAATGCTACCACGGAGCCTCAGGCATCATCTCGCCCCGACGATGCTAGTGAGATTGACACTCCCACACAAATGGCTTGAGTGTCTTCCAAACAGATTGGGAGCAACATGCCATATATCCAATGACAGTCTGGGGGAGGGAGTGCCCTGCAGAGTGCCCTGCATTTCTGAGTTTATCATCGATGTCCCGCAGCTTCGTGTGCCGGCTTCCCATTGTTAAGATGTACTTTATCAAGTTCGTAGGTCCCAAGAGCTGAAGCTAGACACGAACAGAGAATTCAACGCGGCCGTGTTCTTGTAATCTGTCACTCGACACGGTGCTTCAATCCTCTGGAAGAGAAGCCATGCTCAAGACAGCATGAGAGCGGGTGATCGCATCCTTCAACCCAGCAAGGGGGGCGGTGTTGCTTTGCATCGACTTCAGATGGCCATTCAACTGCCCAAGCAATCCCGATAATTCAGGATCCGCCTCAAGCTAGACGGCGTTAGCATGATTCTACACGACAGGCAGCGGAAGACATACTTGATCAAACATGGTGCGGGGCTCCTTCTCCGTTGCGATCGTGAATCCAGCCTGTCCTTGACTCTTCTCTTGAGGGCCATCGTTGAGTGTGCGCAGCACAGGGTGTTCCTTCAGAAAGATCAGTATATGAAGATAGTCGGAGATATCGCGCAAACTCACATTTTTCATCAACCTCTTCCGCTCAGATTCAGCTCGCTTAGCATTCTTCTCCATCTCCTGCAACTGGCTCGTTTCCTGCGCCAGTAGAGCTTCCTCCTTCTCAATCTCCGCCTTCAAAAGATCAATCCCGTCATTCGTCGTCGCCAAGCTAGCCTCCAGCGACGTCTAGCAAAAAACCATCAGTCAGCACCAGCCAACACCCAGCAGGAACATCATATCACATACATGCTCCTTAAGCGCAGCCTCAAACTCAAAGCACGAGTCCTTCGTCACCGGCGGGAATGGCATCCTAGGAAGGCGTTTACCGAGGCTACGAAACAGCCAATCAGCACTTTCGATCCCGACTTGAAACAGGAGATAAACAGCGAAAGGAGGGGCAGGGCATACTTTTTCACGACCGCCTGGACGGCCGCTTGTGCCTCGATGCGCTTGCGCTCATTCTGGTTGCGGACTATCACCGGTCGCTCCAGGGACCGAAACATGTCGCGCACTTTGTCCTGGACGGGCTCGGGGAGGGTCGTCCATTTGGATTTGATTGTCCGTTCGGGAATGTGGCGGACGTGAGGCTTCAGGTAGGCGAATCGCTTGTTGTTGGTGTTGGTGTCGTTGCGCGTGTCGCTGTCGTCGGCGTGTTTTCTTTTCGGGGGCATGATGGAGGTGCCTATAGATCGGACGTGTAATTGGTGTGGCAAAACAAGAAAAGGGCGATTAATTTAAGTTTGTCGAGGTGAAACTGATGTTGGCTGCGGGGATGGTCAGGGAGTTGCGTCTGGATTATTTACTTTCATCATCGCTGCCCGTGTTTCTCGCGGTGATCGACTTCCGTCACATGCCTGAGAACCGCCAGGCGGGCTAAACCGGTTTGGGTTACGGGGCCCCGAAACCCTTTTGCGACAATGATAAAACATTGGTTACTGCGGTTTTCTCATCTTCATGGGATTTCAATTAGATTGCAAGATCAAGATAAATGAATAGATAGAAATAAAAATAGAAAATTAATTAATAGATACAATCAACTCAATCAAATATGGACATAAATATAATTAATATATCTACCTCTCTCTACTAGCGCTTCCCCAAGGCAGGGTCTCCAGGGGTCGCGCATAAACAGCCCAATTACTTTCTATCCAACAAGGGTATTTATTATGGAGTATAATCACATGCACAGTTCCAGACCGAGTCACAAATGTCCTCCACATGGGGTCTTGATATTCACAAGTCAGATCATAGTCCCTGATAGCTGAACGCCTTCCCTTCCTGCCAACAAGATATACACGCCGTCAGATCGCTAAACCGCTTCATCACAGAAAAAAGCCCTAAACACATGCAAGCCTTCCTCTTTTGGGGAGGGGCCAAGGGAAGGGGGCGGGAAAAATGTTGATGTCATGGTCTCATTAAGGATGCAAAAAAGCTACCGCGGCATCATCAAACCATTCACGGTTTTGAGCTCGGCCAGCTGGGATTTTAGGATCTCATTGCCCCGGAGGACCTCTTCCAGCCAGTCGGCAGCCTGGGTGAGCATGGCGCTTTTGCTGAACCCGCCACCCCGCAACCCCGGGACCAGGGAACACAGGTCGTCGAACCCCTGCCGAATCAGGTTCCGGCGTTTCTGTTCGGAGAGGATATGATTGCTCCGCTTTTGCTCTTCCGTCAGATTCTCCCGAGCGGACTTGGCATTTGATTGTATACTCGACCGCCGGACGGCGTTTGAAGACATCCGCCGGGGTTTGTTGTAAGTCGAGGCCTTGGACTTGCGCCTCGGCTGGGACAAGTCCCCGTCGGAGTCCCCCTCATCCTCTTCCTTGATCAGGGTCTTCTGCCGTTTGCTCGGTTGCAAGAGACCATCCATACTCTCCCCGTACTCCCGTCGGCCATCGCCCAGTCTATTGGCCGTCCCGGACTCGGGCCAGGACATGTGCGGACCGGTGGCCCGCTCCGGGCTGGGCGCTCGCGTGTTGGCCGCACTATTCTGGCGCTCGAAACATTGGAGATTGCTCAGGAGATCGTCCACTCGTTCCTCTTCATCCGGTTGATCGGCCGGTCTGACGTAGCCCTGGTCCAGAAAACTGACATCGGACCCCCAGTGGAGGGGTCGCACCTTGGCCGTGGCCTGCTGCTCGGGAGAGATGGGTTCCCTCACATCGAAGAGCATCTCGGACGTGTGGTACGCGACCGGCGGACGTGCCGGAGCAGCCGCACTGGTCGGTCTGGGGGACACATGCGTGGTGTGTGATCGGTCCTTGGCGTGACCGTTCGACCGAACACCGCCGAAGTCCAAGTTGGGGAATCCCGCGAAGGGATTCTGGCCGACTGTGGGTTGGATCTCCGGAGGATTCGACCCGGTGTGGTAGAGCATGGATGCCGCCGCAAAGAGGTCCTGGTTTACCCCGTGTCCGTTGGGAAACATCGGCGCTCCGGGTTTCTCGAGGCTGGCCTGGGGGCCCGGCGGCTGTAGAGACGTGGTCGAGCCTTCGAAAGTGGGCGGCAGCTCGTCCGACCATCCAAAGTTGGTCGCGCCAAACGGCTTGTTTTGCTGGCTTTGCATCCACAGGTCATTATTGCTGAATTGGTTCGAGTTCAACGTCGTGAAGAAATTGTCTAGCATGTTCGACTCGTTATCGTCGAGAAGAGCTGGGCCCGGCGGCGGCGCCGGAGCCGGTTCGTACGGAGTATCCATCGTGGGCATTAAAACTAGAAGCACACCCGATGGTCAGCGGACACCACAATCATCACCACTTGACGCAGCGGGACCTACAGCCAAAAGGGCCCGGGGGAGGGCTACTCCGATCATTGCGAGGTTCAGGACCGTTCATATTTGGGTTGGGGGAGGACGGGGGAGGGGGGGGGAGGGTACGTCAACACAAGCGGGAGGCGGGGAGGAGTTACGGGGAGGGGATCGTGGTTGCGAAAGTTCGTCCCAAGACGACTGCACCAGCATGTGCTACTCTAATATCGAGAGCAGCGTCGACCAAGACACGTTGAACATGCCTTGCTCTATCGAGATTTGAGATTCGAGGAAGAAATCCAGCAAAAGAAAAACAAATAAACCACGGTTCAATATAGTAACCTAAACACAGCCGGGTGGGAAAGTATACACCAGATAAGAGAAGGTTAAGAAAGGTCGAGAAATTTCAGATGACAGAAAGCGACGGGATGGAGAAGATTCCCCGCATTAAAATCATTCATGTGTTTTGATGACGAGAAATCTGGAGATGAGCGTAGTGGAGAGAGAGAGAGAGAAGAGAAAGCTTTGGACAATTCGAGGTTCCATGATGGGAATTTCGGTCCTTTCGCCGGTCGGATCACATGTGAACTGGGGCCCTCGTGCCAGGGGTCGCGTGACGTATGTGTATTACCGCCCATAACCTCCTTTTTCCCCCCTGGTCCTGACCGATGGAACAGATCTGGTACGGTAAAATACAGCATCTCCAGCTTCTTTCTCTTCCCCCCCCCCAAGAAAATCAATCCCATGTTCTTTCTTCCCTTTCCCTGTTAATCTTCAGTGCCAACCATTTCCTTCCCTCGGGATGCGGCAGCAGCGCGAGTCCTTTCTTGAGTTCAGCTATCCCCGGTTTAATTAATTGAGGTTTTCGATAGCCCCACTACTCCGTACTCGGTACCTGACTGGATTAAGGCAAGATCCTTTCCGCAGTCGACCTCATTTTAGTTCCCTTCCCCCCTCTTAGGAGAAACCTTGCGAATCTGCGACGAAGACGTTTGGATGATCATCAGCTCGGTCACGGCTTGGTTCTCGAGTGGATCAGGTTTAGAAACTTTCCTGATTACTTCGGATCGTATTTGTCTCCAGACCGAGGTCGAACCATACCGCTGCACGGCTCCACGAGCTGATCATACCCGCGAAAGGCTATTCGCCCGCAAACTACGGAGTAGATCCTCCGAGGCTGTTGGTTTCCAGCTGCACCCCGGGTTTGATGTTAGGGGTACCTGACCCTTTAATTTGTTGGAAACTGAGCCACCCGACGGTTGTCTTGCTCTTTATTCTGGCTGCTTGCCAGATTGACTTACTCGAGGCCAATCAATCCCACCTCGCGCCTTTTGAAGAAGGATAAGCCGCTTACCCACTCCCTCCCCATCGTTTGAATTAGTCATAGGTCCGTCTCCATCACCAAGGCATGCTTGCAAGACGATTCCACTGATACAAGGATAATCAATGGTTGTGATGTGATTCAGAGTTGGTGCTGACACTCTACCTCATCCGCCAAGAAGCGGATATGAGTTAGACGGTCGGGTCTTTGACTACCATGGATCCTGCAGTCATTCGCAGGCACCAGCATGAGCTTCGAGTCTTAAATCCGTAAGTAGATGTCACCATAACGTGCGAGTTCCTTGGCTGCACCTGTTGTGTTACGTTCATGAATAAGAATGAGAAGATACAAGAAATTGGGAGAAAAAAAGAGAGAGAGAGATCCAGACCTTTGACGTTTCTCACAACAGCGTTTTGCGGGCTTATGCCATTGGGTATTTATCTTCAGCCACGCCAAGAATCGTATCGTCCTTGGGTCGGATTGGAAAACGTGAGCTGAGTTATGAGCAAAAGTGTGCCGAGGTGTGTTGACAGTCTGTCTCCAATCTTTCTCAAATTCTTTGCATCCCGCAAGGGGACATCGTGCGTCGTACGCCCATTAACACCGAGGTGGCAGCTATATTCGGCGTTGACGTCCGCAATACGCCTGGAAAGTTTCCCAACGTTTTGTGCGTGTCTTGTGGGCGGCTCGACCGTTGTTCCTACTCTCATTCTCCGACTATGGGGCCTTGTAAGGCTCAAGCTGGGTTCAAGGGATCCTGCCTCGATCCCTCATCATTATGCCCGGGTGATCCGATTACTAGCCGCCTTTATTTCTGCGTGGTCAAGCTTTGAGCTTCTGAATCGGAGGCCCCTCAAGCTTCGCCAGAACAGGAATTCCCAAAGTAGTGCAGAAGGTAGTGCGGTTTCGAACCAGGCGGCTGCGGATAAATCCCCGGCCGGCCTGGAGCACCACGGACGTCCCGCCTTTGCGGGCAGGACGATGGACCTTACCTTGTTTACTTTAACCCGAGCCGTGGATACCGTCGCCTCGATCGCATGGGCCCAATGGCGATCAAGGCGGAAGGCACAAGGTCGGTGGACATCAGCAGAGTCTGTGGCACCTGGGCTGGTGGATGCCGGCCTTTTTGCGGCCAGCTCGGCGATTGTGATGTGGGCTTGGTTTTATGTCCCAGAACGATTACCCAAATCTTACGAAAAGTGGATTGGAGAGGTTGCCAAGGTGGATACCCGCTTGATCGAAGCGCTTCGCCGGGCCAGGAGAGGTATCTTTGTGTATGGAAAAGACACGGGTCAAGGCTCGCTGCTTCGGCCCATGTGCAAGGAATATGGGTGGCCGTTGACGTGGGGGGAACCCTCGGAGACCATTCCCATACCCTGCCAAATGGTCCACATGAGCTGTGGTCCCAGCTGTGAGTGGCATGCGATATCTCGATTCGCGCGGACCTTTAAGTTCGCCTGTGCGACCTACATCCCTTTGCAGATGGCCGTTCGTGCCCGCTCCATGAAATCCATGGCGGCCGTTCGTCGGGCGATCACTGAGGCACTCCGTTCATCAGGCTTCCTCGCCGCGTTCGTGAGTCTCTTTTACTACTCCGTCTGCCTGGCCCGGACGCGACTCGGACCCAAGATCTTCAGCAGCAAAAATGTAACCCCCCAGATGTGGGATTCTGGACTCTGCGTCGGTGCCGGGTGCATGATGTGCGGATGGAGCATACTGGTCGAGAAGGCACGGAAGCGGCAGGAAATGGCACTGTTTGTGGCACCCCGAGCAGCCGCCACTGTGCTTCCTAGAGTTTATGATAAAAAGGTACGATTAATGAATTCTCCTCTCCTACCATTGGCTGTTCTCTTTTTCTTCAGCTCATGGCAGGTCACACTTATCCTGTCCCACCTTCATTTCTGCCTTGCAAGTGCCGTTGAAACTAACGGACATAGTATCAAAACCGCGAACGCATGGCCTTTGCTCTAAGCGCCGCCATGCTTTTCGCCTGCCTTCAGGAGCGACCCGATTTAGTCCGCGGTGTGTTTGGCAGAGTCGCCGCCAGTGTCTTGAAGGCATGATCACCTCACCTCTTCTTCTATCTCTTACCACCTCTCAATTCTTACCTTTTACCTCTCCCCCTAATGGCTATACGGCTATATCCCCTGAACTCTATTTCCTCAATTTCTTTTATGGGTTGTGGTCCTACGTGACCTACTTGTGTAATAATATTAATGTTGTTCTACCCCTCAAAGTTTTCTTTTCTGGTCTGGCATGGTAGTACTACTCGACAGTATTATGGCCTTTGCTGTTCTAGGCCACCATGCCAAGATCTCAACGCTATGCACATGAACGCTTACTAGATCTAAATTTGTTGTTATTATGTGGTTGATCTGTAACTAGTTATTATTATGTCCATATTCACGTTTACTAGTTCGATGCCAAGTGGTGGGTTCGTCTGTTAATACTGGGGCTGTTCTGCTGGCATGGTCGGTTAATACATATAGTTCATTTCTGAATTATAATTATGTGGGTGGACCGATAAACGGTCCAGATATCAATGATAATAATATTGAGTAATCTAGAAACTATCGAAAAATCTACGAACAATTGCAAAAGCAGAAAGTATCAAATCAACGATTTATATAGGAGGGGCGGGAAGACACTGCAACCCAGCCGACGTTGGCTGATAGCATATTTTGGAAACACGCGACAAAAAACAGTCTGAAAGGGACAAATTTTGATGATGTCCAATCCTATAAGAAGGTCACAGATTGTTAAAAAAAAAAAAAAATTAAACGATCAACGTGTGGGAGAATTCTCTGTAGGTCAGCTGACCGTTTGGTTGGTTGCCCCGGTCACTCACTGCCTCTTCCAGCAAATGTCGTGTCTTGGATTCAACTTGATTCAATTACTTTGGAGTAGCTACTTACTGGTGGAGTGGCTAGGTAACATCATAGCTCTTGGGGTTTAGGTAGGAGCGTGGCTTCGGGGAAGCAGTGAGGCTGCTAGGATGATTGTATAGTATGAAATACTAGGTTGGATATCAAGGCCCTGCCATTCGCCAATTGATGTTTTTGGTGCAATGGTTCAGATGAAAGGCATAGTATTAACAAAATATATTAGATGGTTATTTCAAGTAACATGTGGTGTTGAATACGGCAATAGACAACGAATAGGAAGTGTAGAACGTTTACAGATCGAAAGTAGATATGAATTTACTTTTAGACAGGCTCAACAAGTGATACAGATATGTCAATTTGGTTCACTGATAACATACTCAATTCAAAATAGGTCACAATCCGCGACTATCTAGCTAGATGATCCAAGAACTAATCTGAGCGCGATTCTGTAACTAATTATAAAACGTGTCGCATTATGTGATTATAGGATTACTCGCGGAGTGCAAAGGTGTCATGATAACTGACGCAAAGAATGCCACTCGGCTACAAAAGATATCCAGACACTTCTGGGCGCTGCGGGTTCCTTATTATAGCTATCTTTACATTGCGATAATATCTTTTGTGATTGACTAGTCATTCTGTTCCGCAAGAAAAAAAAAAAAAAAAAAAAAAAAAGGGATGTTAGGCAAGGCACAACTAGGCAATGGTATACCCGTCATCAATAAGATTATCAGCAGCAATAACCTGAGCGTAATCCTTAAAGATCCCCGATTGAGGAGCATATCGGAAGAACCCAGTGACTTGGTGATCTGTATTCCAGACAACGGAACCAGCCCCTTCACTCGACAAGGCCATGTTCGAGCCTTGGCCCATATAGAGCCAGTCCGCGGGTATCCACGTATCCTTTGTCTCGTAGGCACACACCCGAGGGAGTTTCCTAATGGCATGGACTCTTTTGGTCCCTTCCACGTATCCCGAAGACGGGGTGTCCATCCGACAAGACTCGCCCAGCCTGGTCGAGGCGGCACGTGCAAATTCCTTGAATTTGATAGGAGGACCGGGGTTGACGGTGTTTTCGAAGGGTTCGTTCACAAAGTGTACATCGCGGGCCAGCCTTATTAGGGCAATGTCTGTGTTTGTCTCTGTGGTCTCTATCCTCCCCAGTGGTGTGTCCGAAAAGCGAGGGTGGTAAACCAAGGTGTCGAAATCACCGTCAGGGAAAGCGTGCGCGGCGGCTGTCATATATCCACGACCGTGTTTGTCTTTCACCAGGATGCCGGATGAACTCAGTATCTCGTCGTCTTGACCGCGGGGCTTTCCGGCACTTAGCATCACACCAGGTCTCAACGTTTGATATCTAGTGTCATCGACGTGATGGGAGGGCAGGGTTGGCTTGGCCCTGAGCACATGCGACCTGCAATCCTTCCGCACTTCGGCCTCAAAGAGATAGAAACAGGGGCATCTAGCTACCGAGCCTGGAACGGCATCCAGAACATCGTCACTGTCATGGTCTAAGACGATGATGACGAAACTTCCCCAAAATTGGATCTCGTTTATTGCGATCTGGTTCCCGGAACAGAAATCCCGAACTAGGTCAAATATCAGACCCACGGCGGCGTCATTTCTTCTCAGATCTAGATCCCCCTGTAACGAGATCTGTGAGCGGCTCCAGTGGCCAAGCGGCCCCGTGGGACCCCGGTCATTTGGATCGGCAGTGAGATAACTAGGGACTCCGGCAACTGTTTTTGGCCACGGCTGGGCGGGAAGTTCAAGAAAGCGGAAAGTGAGGGTATAGTCATCGAATCCAATTGCTTGAACACGAGGGAAGAGATTGAAGAGAAGGTCGTAGTTGGATTTATCTTGAAATTGGGAGGGATCTTGGTGAAGATCGAAGGGGAGTATGACATGCCGGGATGCCAGAGAATACGCCTCGGGGTTTGACACTGATGATGGTAGCATGTCAGTCACAGGCTTCAGGTGACGGCGCTCTGAGATTGGACGGTGGAGACGTCGGGACTCTAAGATACAATTAGCCTGAACAGGTTCTGAATGAATGATTCCGTCAGAGGCTATATACTCGCCAATGATCGCCTTGCTGCCTAGAAAATGCTCCGCGGCGAAACTCGATGAATCCAGATTGGCAGTCTTCGGAGCGATTATGAGAATCTGCTTCAAGCTAAGGGTTTCAAACAGCGGCACAATACGCCGTCTTTCGGGTGACGAAGCGTCGTCCTCCGGATCGCTTCGTGGTGAGATAAGTATCTCATCTAAAATGATCTCATCTGCGCCAGTCAACACACGCATGATAAAAAAGAGGAGTTGATCAATGAGGTTGATGGAAGGAATGATGATAGTGAGAAGGTAGTGAGACTGGTCAAGGAAGAAGGAGGTTGATAAGAAAAGGAACGGGGTGATGACAAGATAAAGGAGGCAATGGGGAAAGCTTCATGGCATATCTTTGAGTCATGGTGGTGTCATAATGGAATCACTGACCCGATGACGATCACTTCGACGTGCTTAAACGTTCAGCGGAGCTTGTGTACTGAGTATCAAAGGTAGAGCCAACAGAATAGATCTCTGAAGCACGTCTTCACGTCCTGGGGTATGATACACGAGCATTGTACTTTAGATACAAGCTGGGTAGATAGAAGACCAACAGCTGGTATTCACTAATATCAATATCAGCCAGCCAGCTTCTGCGAATAGGTGGAGACAACCATGAGTATGCCTTGGATCATTCCGTATAGCCATGTTTACGCTTTTCACGGTGTTTGGGTAAGCCTAACCCGTGACTAAGTAGAGTCAAGTCTTGGAGGAATATACGTTGAAAGCCTTATAGGATATTCTCCAACCAATAACTTTTGAGTGAAATGAGTCATTGGTACACTTCACGGTAGTGGACAAAGTCACAGAGGTACAACCTGATATGATTATATCGCTGTTGACAGCCATTGAACCAAAATACCGACTCACACTTTATATAAGTCATATCCATAACTCATATCCCAGCACAACCTCACTTTGCCGTTATATAAGGCTCCGGTTCTGCTCTTGGGTGCCGGATCTCCCAGGTCAGTTGCACATTCTAGAGCGAAAAGGATCGAAAAGGATGCCGGGGAGGCCGATGAACTGGTCAAAAAAATCGATGATATTGATAATATCGATGATGCTAGTGAGTACGAAAGTGTTTCTTACAAATGGTTACAAAACATGAAGAGTAAAAAGACAATTTGTGTAGAAAAACTCTGTAAGTCAGCCGATGTTGACCGATTGCAGGTCTATACATAGTAGGGCTATTACTATTGACATCAACATGCACAGAGTATATATCTCATCGTATTCACTACAAGTTTTATACCGATCATTTTAGCCACCCAAAGTATAGCAGATGAACAATAAGATACCTAATGGTTAGCCCATCTACCCATCTCTAAATTGAAATTCCACACTTCAGCATCCTAGATAACCTCAGTCGTCATTCTGGGTCTTTAGAAGGAAACCGACGTTAACCTTAAATCTCCTGATCCGCCGTACCCTTATCGATAACGATGGGCCGATGCCAAGTCGCAGTCACGTGCCATGCGGCGTGAGTCGGGGCGCATGTTGCAGGGACCGGACCTTTGCATCTATTCGGCATCATAACCTGAGAACCGTTCGCCATGCTACATCGATTAACCTCTTTGTGGAGTCGCCTTCCGCAACAGGGACTTGGTTCCCGGATCCCGCCATCATGCCCTAGCACGACATTCTTTGGACTAGGGAGGAGGTCTTTCAGTCACAATTCGTTCCTCGGACGGAATGCGTCCTCTGCGCCGTTCAATACACCTCAATCTAAGCAGCGCAATGCGTCCACGATGTACCGTCCAAATCGTTCTTATTCGTTGGATAGCGCCTAACTTGTATAGGTACTACGCAGCGAGTATGATCCTGGGCACGGTGGCCCTCGCATATGGCTCTGTTCCTCTGTACAAAATGGTCCGATACCGTCCCAACAATTCGACTACCTCATGCGCAATGCTGACTTCTCCCGCCCCATAGATCTGCCAACAAACCGGATGGGGCGGCCAGCCTATCCTGACTCACCGTGGAGGCGACGGAGATGCCTCCGAGCGCGTTGTCCCCGTCACCGACTCTCGCCGGCTCCGGATCACATTCAATGGATCAGTCTCGGACGTATTACCCTGGAAGTTCACCCCACAGCAGCGTGAAGTCCGAGTGCTGCCCGGAGAGACGGCTCTCGCGTTCTACACAGCGACCAACAAGGGACCCGCAGATATCATCGGTATCGCTACATACAGTGTGACTCCGGGACAGGTTGCTCCGTACTTTAGCAAAATCCAGTGCTTCTGTTTCGAAGAGCAGAAGTTGAATGCGGGAGAGTCCGTGGATATGCCGGTGTTCTTCTTCATTGACCCTGATTTTGCCAGGGACCCGGCAATGAAGGGCATCGATACCATCACGCTTTCGTACACATTTTTCAGTAAGATCATACAGATGTTCCCGTCCGGGCTGGTGTACCAGATACTGACGATCTATGCAGAGGCGAAATACGACGATAACGGCGTTTTGAAACCTCTGCCATCGGGCTGAGATCATATGCGGTGAACCGGTCCGGGTTCTTTTAAAATAGATGGCAAGCGACGAAGAGTCTTATGGGATTTTTCGGTACCTTGGCTAGAAAAATTGGACGGCGCTAGAAATGTGATATGAGATACGCACCGCCGGCTATCGAACCGACGACACATTGGGCACCGACGCCCCTTTGGACATTTCTGTTGGCATGGGAAATACCCCCTCCTCTCCCAAGATATACTTGTATTATATTTTATAGAATACGCCTTAGTGGCTTTTGTACTATACTATAGCATTATGTGAGATGAGCTTGCATTTGTAACGTGATTGTTGAAGAAGCATGATGCCTGAGAAATTCTTGAAACAAATGTATGGAGTGTTCCACTGGCTTGTAGAAACTAATGATTACAATCCAAGCCCCAATTAGTATACTTGATACATCAAGTAGGCGCTCCATACTCAAGTAGTAGGCACCTAGGCAAGTATATAGGCAGGTGGTGGGCGCCTAGAATCCATATGCCAGGACGGATTAACTAGCGGGTGCCTGCACGGACCACCAATTAAGTTCGCGTGCCACGAACCGACGCGTCCGCCGCTGGATCTGTGACCTGAACCGCATAAGCTACTAAGATCTTCCGACCACCACAGAAAGCGCAATTCAGGCAGATCAATTATATAGGAACAGGCCAATTTGTGCGAGTTCCAAACAGTCTCAAAATGGCGCTCCTGGTTGATAAGCTGCGGCCACGCTCGCTTGACGCGCTTTCATACCACCCCGAACTCTCTGATCGGTTGAAGTCGCTGGTAAGGACAGAACAGCACCAAATAAACTGCATGTCAAGACGACTAACGACTTTGATGATTGTTAGGCCCAAAGCGGCGACTTCCCCCATCTCCTCGTGTACGGACCGTCAGGAGCAGGAAAAAAGACACGGGTGATCGCGACACTGAAAGAATTGTACGGGCCCGGCGTGGAAAAGATCAAGATCGACGCGCGAGTGTTCCAAACGACCAGCAACCGCAAACTCGAGTTCAACATCGTTTCCTCCGTCTACCACCTCGAGATCACGCCGTCGGACGTCGGGCACTACGACCGCGTCGTGGTGCAGGAGCTGCTGAAGGAGATCGCCCAGACGCAGCAGGTCGACCTGTCAGCGAAACAGCGGTTCAAGGTCGTGGTCATCAACGAGGCTGACCATTTGACCCGTGATGCGCAGGCGGCGCTGCGTCGGACGATGGAGAAGTACAGTCCTAACCTGCGGTTGATCCTGCTGGCCAATAGCACCTCGAATATCATTGCGCCTATCCGCTCCCGTACCCTGCTGGTCAGGGTGGCCGCGCCTACGGAGGAGGATATTTGCTCTGTTTTGAGCGCGGCTGGGCGGCGAGAGGGCTGGAACGAGGCGAGTGAGCTCAATAAGCGGATCGCCAAGGACTGTGGGCGGAATCTTCGGCGCGCTTTGCTTATGTTTGAGGCTATTCATGCTCAGAGGTAGGTTGGCTTTTCTTGCTCGGGCGTTGAGTTATCGTTTGATGAGAGGCTTACTTGGTGAATAGTGAAAAAGTGACAGATAGTACGCCGATTCCGCCTCCAGACTGGGAGGTTTTGATCTCTGTGATCGCGGACGAAATTCTCGCTGAGCGGTCTCCGGCACAGATTCTGCTGGTCCGCTCACGGTTGTATGATCTGTTGACTCATTGTATACCGCCAACGACAATTCTCAAGGTATGGCCCAGTCTACACGCCGAAAAGCTATCAATTCATAGAGAGGAGAAGAAAGAGCTAACAACCACGCAGACCCTCACCTTCAAGCTAATCGCTAAGGTCGACGATGCCTTAAAACCCGAGGTGATCCAATGGTCTGCTTTTTACGAGCATAGAGTCAAGCAAGGCAGTGTAAGGCTCCGTAACTATGTGACTGACAAGAAAATATCTTTCTAACTACGATACAGAAAGTGATTTTCCACCTAGAGGCATTTGTCGCGAAATTCATGCGCATCTACGAAAGGTTCGTCATCTCATTAGAAATGTCACTGAACTGCTTATGATAAACTAACGCTAACGTCTCATACAGCTACCTGATGGGCATGGATTTTTAAACCGTAAAATCAGACAAGAAACGAATCATGATTGTATTACTATTCCTATATTCTTACTACATAACGGAGAGTGTTTCCTGGCTTTGTGTTGATGCGCCTCTCGGCGATGGACGGAGTTGGTCTTGACTTAGTATAGTATATCTGCGGGGATTTCAAAAGATAGAGATTACCGGGGCTTATGTATTAGCCAAGAATCCCTTTTAACCGATAATAAGAATATTAGCACTTCCATGCTCGCTGCGGCGCTCCCTTTCCTACTATGGAAACCAGGACTTGGTCTAGTAGGTATCTGGGGCGTGGAAGGTGTACTACGTCATATGTACCTCTTATATAACCACACTACCATCCCATTGGATCCAAGTCTTGCGTCTGTAAAATATTTCGTTTGAACGAAACAAACAGTGTATAGTCTTCTATGAGTAACCTTTCGCCTCATTCAGCCATTTACGCAGTATGTCAGACTCTAAACTTGTGGACATCGAACCCGGTGGTGAGAGCACGCAGTAAGTTCCGCCTTCGCCAAACAGGCAGATATACCGTGCAGTCACTGAATAATGACTAGGTATGAATCTATAAAGGAGTTTACGGTACCGCCTGCGAAGCAAACCGGGCAATTGGGAGGTGCGTTTTCTATCATTGAAAAGGGAGGCAGTCTGCCTGGCGACGTTGCTGATGCCGTACGGTCTAGCGCACGAGCCGCATACGAAGAGCGAACAGTGGCCATCAAAGGAAACGGCTCCTAAACCCGAAGACGAAGATGCCGAGTGGGCTAAGAAAATGGGCAAAGAGTATACCAGCAGCGGCTTGAATACTACAGAGGACGGTACAGTGGATCTCGATTTTCTTTTACCTTCTATTTAACTCCGTGTGTTATATTGTAGAAAGACATGTTCGGAAGGATGCGAAAGATATGGACGAATGAACGAGGAACCAAAGCTGATAAATAGTATACACAAGGCCGGACGTTTAACGCTCAGGCTAGCGACGCGACGGCCGCTAGGAGCCGGAGACAGCAGGGGTATGGACCGGGATCCGGCGTAGGAGCCTGAGCGGTGGTCGAGACGTGAGCGCAGCGAGGGAAAATGAAGTCATGAGGTGGGAGGATTGCGGTGCGGAGTGTTTATTGGGGAGCCGTGGGGCTGGTGGAGGAAGAGGTCGACTTCGGAGGGTTGGGGAGGTTCTCGGTGCCCAGGGCGGGGCTTCTGCGGGCTCGTTTCAGGCTTTCCAGTGTCACGCCGTTGCCGAGCTTTGTGATGCCGACGACAGGCGGAGTGCTTTTGTCGACAAATTCCCAGAGACCTAATTTGATACCGGTCGTTAGTCTCGAATGCTCTCCCTCTATTTAATGCGTAGACATAGACTCACCGGGCAGTTTGTGGCCCGCCAGTCGGAAGGCCTCTCTGGCGATCTTCTCGTGCAGGTCGCCCTTGAGCTCGAACACGATCCGGCTCACCGGAACCCTGGCCGTCCAGTAGTCGAATTTACCCTTACCCTTACCCATACGCTGCTCGTTACCCTTGGTGTACACACCAATGTTGGCGCTCACGCGCTTGTAAAGCGTGTACTTCATCCCCCTCAGACGTCGCTTGATCGTTTCCTCTGCAATCTTCAGATGCTGAGCGGGCAACCGACGGTCGTGATCCTTCATACGCAGGCCATAGTCGCCCCAAACGACCGTTGTGCCTCGGGAAGAGCCGCCAGTTGCGACATGCGGGCGACCCTTGGGGGACTTGGACCGTTCCGCATATTTCGGCGTCAGCCAGTCAAGGGCAGGCGAAGTCGTCGAGAAGCATCGAGTAACAGGGAGGCCCGTGAAGGACGTCGATAGAACTATTGTCCCACTCTGGTTAGATTTCTGATGCGGAACGAAAACTTTGAACAAGGACACTGGTGCTCACTGGTAGGGCGGAGGAAGCCTAGCCGAGGCCCCGAAAACATCTTCATCTGCGAGCCCATTGCGACACCAATTGAACAATAGGCCCTTGGAACTCAATCGATGCTGGACGTTGGAGAAAAGGTATCGCTGACTTCCAAAGCCACTTATCGACGTATCAGGAAGTCCGAATTTCGCCCATCCCCGAGTCGTCCAGACACACCGCCCTGGGCACGTGCCACCCGCTCTGTGGCTTACATAACCCTCATTAAGTCACGTCGTTGATGCGCCTGCGGGTTGCGGGCGCGTTCGTGTTCCGGGTCGAGCTACTTTGCCTGGATCACGGTTTCCTCTAGGCATTCATCTAGGCAGCACTGCCAACGTCCGTGTCCAATTTTGTTTATAAAGCTCGGTGGACATTGGTTAGAATTGTATCAACCTCAGGTCATGTTCAATTGTCGTTGAGCCACCATGCCTGCCGATATCAGGAACTTCTTTGGCGGCAAGTCGAGCCAAGGCTCCGCTGCGTCTCCTGCGAAGCCAGCCCCGAAGAAAGAGGTGAGCTCATACAACTTTGGGAAATGCGAAATTCTACAATTGTACGACTTCTTTGCTAACGTTTGTATTGACATCAGCAATCTTCCACCGACAGAAAAAAACGTATGGTTTGGGGAATGCTCTGGCTGTACTACGGCCTGCTGACTGGTGATTTCATTTAGGCAGCAGGAAGGTTGTCGATGATAGCGACGACGAAGAGGATACTGCGGTAGCGAAGGCGCCTGCTCAGCAGCCCAAAGCTGCTAATAAACCGTATGATCCGCCGCGACCACTCTGGACATTATACAGTACTAACTGGTGTTCGTTAACAGGACATCCGCGCCTGCGGAGGGTGAACCAACATCCACGTCGGATTACTTCGCTTCCAGTAAGAAGAAAGGCAGGCCTGCGAAGAACACTGCAACGGCGGCAAAGGAGCCTGAGCCGCCCACCGATGGCGACAAGGCCGGAAAGGGCGCAAAGACGAGCAAAGAAGCCAATAGGAAGGAGCCGCCAAAGCGACAGACCCGACGGGGGAAGACTATTGCCGACGATGAGGGGCTTGGCGGAGATGATATCTTTGCATCGGAATACCAGAAGCCCGGGAAAGGTGACGACGAGTACGTTGAAGAAGCCCCCAGTGACGGGGAAAGCGACTTTGAGGAGCTTGCGGTCAGGCCGGCAAGGTCAGCGTCGACTCGGAAGAAGAAAGAAACCTCCGCATCGGATGATGATGTTGTGATGGAGGACCTACCCTCGAAATCCACGAAATCGGCAGCCGCAAAACCGACTCGGAAGAGGAAGTCGGAGGCTATCGACAAGGAGGATGCTGAGTTTGAAGCCAGCCCTAAGAAGAGCGCCCCGCCACCGAAGGCTAAGAAACCAAGGGCGCCTCCCCAAAGCGCGCGCCCTGAAAGCAAAGAGGTCCAAGATATTCTCGACAGTATTCCTACAGTCCGGCCACCCTCACCGCCACCGAAGAATCCGGATGGGAAGAAGTTCAATTTCGCTGCTCAGAAAGGACGGGATCCCCCCGCATCGGGCGGTGGTGAACTGCCTGTAGGGGCGGAGAATTGCCTTGCAGGAATGTCGTTCGTCTTCACCGGTGTCTTGGACACACTGGGCCGTGACGAGGGACAAAATTTGGTCAAAAAGTACGGCGGAAAAGTCACCGGGGCTCCGAGCTCGAAAACAAGTTACGTTGTTTTAGGGGACGATGCCGGGCCGTCTAAACTCAGAACCATCAGGGAGAAAAACCTGAAGACGATCAACGAACAAGGTTTATTCGACCTCATCCGGCGACTCCCAGCGAACGGTGGAGATGGGAAGGCAGCTGCCCAGTTCGAGGCGAAAAAGAAGGCGGACGAGGAGAAGATTCGAGCCATGGCTGCCGAGATTGAAAAGGAGGAGAAACGCAAAGAAGCGGCTAAACGCAGCTCGGATGCAGCCAAATCCTCGCAGACGCCGTCTTCATCACAGCCTTCCAAGGTTGACGACCGTTTATGGACCGAGAAATATGCGCCTTCGTCGATGAGTATGATATGCGGGAACAAAGGGCAAGTTGAGAAACTGCAGGCATGGCTTCGCGACTGGCGGAAAAATGCTAAATTCGGCTTCAAGAGGCCTGGGAAGGATGGAACTGGCATATATCGCGCTGTCATGATCCACGGACCTCCTGGCATCGGCAAAACTACTGCCGCCCATCTAGTCGCCAGGCTGGAGGGGTTCGACGTTGTCGAGGCCAATGCTAGTGACACACGGAGCAAAAAACTTGTGGAAACCGGTCTTCTTGGCGTCCTAGACACCACGTCCCTGCAAGGATATTTCTCAGGCGCTGGTGAGAAGGTACAGAGCGAACGGAAGAATTTGGTTCTGGTCATGGACGAAGTCGATGGAATGTCCGCGGGAGACCGTGGTGGCGTGGGTGCGTTAGCAGCCGTCGCAAAGAAAACCAGCATACCGATCATACTCATCTGCAATGAACGGCGGCTTCCCAAGATGAAGCCGTTTGATCGGATCACCTACGATCTCCCGTTTAGACGGCCGACAGCAGATCAGATCCGAGCTCGGCTTTCGACGATCTGCTTCCGAGAAGGATTGAAGATCCCACCTCCCATCCTTGACAGTTTGATTGAAGGGACGCATGCCGATATCCGACAAGTCATCAACATGCTGTCAACTGTCAAGTTGGACCAGACAAACCTGAGCTTTGAGCAAGGACAGGCGATGTCCAAGGCTTGGGAAAAGAATATCATCTTGAAACCCTGGGATATCGCCGGCAAGATTCTCAGCGCGCACATGTTCTCGCCGAGCTCCAAGACCACCCTGAATGAGAAGATCGAACTTTATTTCAACGACCACGAGTTTAGCTATCTGATGCTTCAGGAGAACTACTTGAAAACAAGGCCAACATTGGCGGGCAATTACCATGGTCGAGAGCAAAAACTGAAGTTGCTCGAATTGGCCGACAATGCTGCTTCTAGCATTAGTGACGGCGACCTTGTCGACCGTATGATCCATGGATCACAGCAGCAGTGGAGTCTGATGCCTACCCACGCTGTCTTTAGTTTCGTGCGGCCTGCCAGTTACACCTACGGTAATCTGACCGACCGAACGTCCTTCACCAGCTGGTTGGGCCAGAACAGCAAACAAGGTATGCGATCCTCCATCGTCGCTAACTCCTTGCAAGATCAGTAATTTGAACACGGTTGACTGACACATCCACAGGAAAACTCTGGCGCTACGTGAAAGAAATCCAATCCCACATGCGCCTCCGCGCTTCTGGCGATCGTTACGAGATCCGACAACAGTATATTCCTACTCTGTGGGACCAGATGGTCCGGCGCTTGATGGACGAAGGAAAGGACGGCGTTGACGATGTGATCGACTTCATGGACAGTTATTTCCTGACCCGCGAAGATTGGGACGCGCTGGTAGAGCTCGGACTTGGTCCGATGGACGAATCCAAGGTCAAGCTGGACACGCAAACCAAGGCTACATTCACACGACTCTATAACCAACGATCGCATCCGGTTCCTTTCATGAAGGCCAGCAGTGTCATTGCGCCGAAGAACGTACCCAAGGAGAAACCGGATATCGAGGATGCCCTCGAGGAATCCGACGATGCAGAGGTCTTGGAGGACGACACCAAGGAAGACGAGGGTGAGGAACTCGACTTGAAGAAGGACAAATATGTCCGCGTGCCCAAGAAGTCAGCGAAGGGCGGGAGTAGCAAAGCCAAGGGATCGAAGAAGGCGAAGAAGGCAGACGACGATGACTTTATTGATGACGATGATGAGAAACCGAAGAAGAAAGGCCGAAAGCCTAAGGCGAAGGGTGCATAGGGGTGACTGTTTCTCATATCTGTCTGCTCTTCTCCCTTTTCTGATGAGACATTTTGTGGATTGGCACAGCCTACCTGTATTTTTTTGTGATTTGAGTACAATGGGATTAAGCCCTCGTGTATTGGTATTGGGTGTTAAAATATTACAATGGAACTGAGGATATAATATACTCACATACATCAGACGTGTTGACATTATATTTATAACCTTTATGTCTTTGTAGCTGCTTTGTTACGGATACATGGCGGAGTTAAAGTTATACTGATCGGCGGAAGAGAGATGCTGGGAAGGCTTG